GCAACTCTCCCCCCACTCCTCCCCAAGCCTGAGGTAGCTGCTCTCAGCTGATATGTGGGTCTGTGCTGTTCTTACAGGTCAAGGTGTTATGGTCTTGTTAGACCAGCCATGGAGACTAGGACGGGTGCTTCGTTCATGTCATAGGGTGGGATATGAGCAGAGCAATTGGGGTCTGCCCTGCACTGGTGCTTCTTACCAAGAGCACCCATAGGAGTGATGCTGGGTCCAGGGTGATGGTGGTGACTCAGTACACGTTGAATTCAGGGCAGTTCCCAAGATGTGGCTCTGACCCACTGTGAAGCCACAGGACACGCTGGCTCTCTTGGGCTGTTGACCCAGGTTGAGCTTTTAAATTTTTCTCCTGAAATTGAAGGTTTTCTTGCCAATAAGTCAACAAACCACAACCCCCACCCCATGATGGGCTCGTTGTTGAAGAACAACTTTTTTAAATTATTTTTTTCTTTCAACCCTTGAGACTCTACAGTAAAATATTTTATTGGCACCCAGTGGTGTTTTCCAGTAGAAGAGACCACCTAAAAACCACCCCCCCTAAGGTTTCATCTACATTTCTGCTGCTCTCTCCTTAGAAGGATTTTGTGGAAGTGGAATTAGATCTCCCTCTCCTCATCTCATCCTCAACTTCCATGGTTAGAAACCCATAAACCAGCTGGTGACAACCATGGAAGACCACTGAGTTGCTTGCTTCTCCAAACACCTCCCATGGAGGTGTCCCCATGTAAAGATAATCAGCCATGGAGAGTCAAGCCAGCGTGCACCTTCAGCTTATCCACACCAACCTCTTAGACCTCACAGGCCATTGACTATCCCCAACTATCACTAAAATAATTTAAATATAATAATTAATGACATTTCTCCACCAGGGAAACTTTAGTTTTCAACTAAGAAACGCTGGAGCACCTGATACTTTCTCTCTCCTCTCCTGTGTCTTACTGGGGAGGTGAAGGTAACCCAGTTAGGATGCTCACCAGGCTTCATGTGTCTTTCTTTCCATGCAGGGAAAGCTACAGATGTGGGTGGACTTGTTTCCAAAATCATTGGGTCAGCCTGGTCCTCCTTTCAACATCACACCACGCAAAGCCAAGAGGTGACTTGTTTTTCATTTCTTACTCACTGTAGTGCTGGTTCCACCATCTTCTGGTGAAGGGAGAGGAGAGGGTTTGGAGATGTCAGATGGGGAGGGATTCACCTGCCCAGTTGAGAAACATCTGTGTGGGCTCATCTTCAGAGAAAGATGACTGACATCTTAACTCCTTTGGCTAAATAGCTGCATAGCACAACCAGACTGTCTTAGGTGGGCTTTGGACCAAGATTTCCACCCTCTCATTTTGCTTTTGTTCCTGGGGCTGTCCAGGTTCTTCTTGCGCTGCATCATCTGGAACACCAAGGACGTCATCCTCGATGACCTCAGCATCACTGGGGAGAAGATGAGTGACATCTATGTCAAAGGGTAAGCCACCCCACTTCTGTGTCCTCTGGGTACCATAGCCTGAGGTCACAAGAGCAGCAGTGAAGGAGTTAACATGGCCCTTACATCAACATTGCTGTGGTAGACACGGACCCGCACTGGGATGAAGGAGCCATTCCCACCTCTCTAACTATGGATCCAGCTTCTTGGTAGACACTTCTCTGCTGGGCTCATCACTGCTTCATGATGTCAAGTTTTTCTTTGCATCTCTTGGATGTTTACGTGACAATCTTTCTATTGATGGAGTTAAGATGTGGGGAAGCAACCCAACCATTGCAGAGAGGGGCTGCATAGGGAACCTGCTTTGGCAGGGGGGTTGGACTGGATGATCTCCTGAGATCCTTTCCAACCCCCACCATTCTGTGATTCTGTGATTTCCACCTCTGACTCCTTCCCAGCTCTTCTCCTGGGACATCCATGGGCTTGTTCCATACACATAGGTTGGCTTGTTTGCATGGTTACTTTTGGAATTCCATATTTTTTCTTGAAATATGTGGCAACGAGCAGTAACTCCCCTGGCACATTCCCTTCTCTGACTCCATTTATGTTTATGGTGTCCCTGCTGATGGCAGGGGGGTTGGAACTAGATGATCTTTAAGGTCCCTTCCAACCCAAGGCATTCTATGATATGATTCTCTGTTTTATCTCATGGAAAATGGTTCAACCTCAGCCAAGGGACTGACTTATTTCGTGCGTTCTTTGGATTTATGGACAGGAAGAGGTCGGATTTTGCAACAGACTGTAAATCCCTTTTTTACAATCCTAATTTTCCTCCTGGAAATCCAGAAAGCACAAGCTGCTTACCTGGTATTCACATCAAGTCCATTGTTATCAGCTCCAACTAAGCTGCTCTGGGTGCTTTGGGGTGCAGAAATAGTGGTGCTTGAAGGGTGTTACCAGGAAAGCGAGAGCATCCAACGCTTGCTGATATCCCTCACCTGGCTTTTAGCATCCCTGATGACCAAACAAATCTCACAGTGCTGTAAAGGAGTTAAAATTCTTGCTCAATTTCCTCATCTTCCCCCCAGAATGGCTGCATCACCAGTGACCTTCACCACCATGATATGGTGGTGCTTTGGTGGAGACCATTCCTTCCATCCACTGCTGCCTCCTGAGCAGGGGCTGGGATTTGCTTTAGGATGAATTCCATGGGTAAGGAGCTTTAGTTGTGGCTTTCCTTCTGAAGATCTCACTTGTCTGAGGTGGCTGTTGCCAGTTTCTTCTCCATCTTACCCATCAGGCAAGGCAAGGGCTGGAATCTCAGTCTCTTGAACGTTATCTTCTAAATAATATGTAAATTATTGTTAAGTCAGGCAGATAAATTAAATAGGAGCTTTTCTATTATGTCTGAGGCAGTTGCCATTTAATTTCATTTAATTTAATCAGTTATTTCTTGATAGTCTTCTAATAGCATGGAAGAGGTCATTGGTAGTCTTCTAATAGCATGAAGAGGTCTCAACCGAGTTTAGCAAGACTGAATGTAGAGAGACCTTCCCTTCCTCACGACTTGAGCTGTAGGCAGACAAAAGAGTGGTGGTGGAGGGAAACCACATTCATTAGGAACTGAAGATGGTTTTTTTGGAGTCACCAGCCCACTCTGTCACTGTCATAGATGGAGGATATTTTTGTGTTTTCTTCATAGTGAAGTTTCCCATAAAAAGTTTGACTTCACCAAGAGGATGGACCAACACTGAACCAGGTCATATGGGATGTGGGAGGTTTTCATTCATCATCTTGCAAGTTTTTAAAGATAAAACAAGTAGTTTTTTGAGCTAACTGGACTAGAACTTTCCAGATTCCCCTTTCCAACCAACCAACCACCACCACTATGATTTATGTGCTATTATGTGGCATCTTTAAAACTCAGCTGCATCCTCTTTTGGGTTCCTAGATAAACGGATGACCTAGGTCCTCCAAAATCTAACACTTGTGCTGAGCAAAGATAGAGATGTTTGACTTTTGAGAACAAAATCATATTTTAGATTGAAGAACCTAACTTTTCCTTTGGATATTGCAGATACCTGAAGTCACGTGGATTTAAAACATATGGGATGAATTAATGAGCTAAAAATCCAGCCAGTCCTGTTAAGTACAAAACCATCATCTATAGCTCAGGAAATCTCTGACCTGCAAATTATTGGAGTCTAGAGAGGTGTGTTGGGAAGGTATCAGGATGTGTTTGCCTCAATCCCATACTCTTAGAATCATAGAATCATTTTTGGTTGGAAAAGACCTTTAAGATAATCAAGTCCAACTGTTTTAATTGGACATCTACTGTTGGCCCTGGTCAGAGGAAGGATACTGGGCAAGATGAACCTTTGGTTGGTCACCATGGCCATTCCCACATTCTATTTTTAATTCTGGGGCAATGTGACTTGAATACTTTTGATTTCTGGTATCTCCTTCTTGCAGTGGAGAGGGTGCAGCAAATTCTGCAAGGAAAGAAAACCATGCCAAGGAAGGATCCAAATCAAACCATTTCTTCATCTTTTTCTTTGCCTGCAAGATGTTTTTTTGGGGTCACCAGCCCACTCTGTCACTGTCAATATCTGGAGGATCTTTTTGTGTTGTTTTCATAGTGAAATTTCCCATAAAAAGTTTGACTTCACCAAGAGGATGGACCAACACTGAACAGAGGGCGCTCGCACTGCATCCTCTGAAGGTCCTTGCCAAGCTTTGAAGGATGTGGATAAACACACAGGCTTGCCATGTGCATCCTATCAGATCAAGTCGAGTAATCCAGCCACAATTTAAGTATTAGTGTAACCTCGTCACACAATTCCCGTGGCCACCAAGCCCTCGTTGTCCATCTAGCACATGTGCATCTGATGTGTACTGTAGGATGAACTTGAGTAGACCTCCCTTCCTTGTCTGCCACAACACATTTAGGGTGGTCCATGTGCTCTTCTTAAGCACTGGAAAAGTGGGAATCATTTGTCTAGCTGAGCAAAAAACCTTATTTTCAATTGAAGGAGAAAACAATCAAACGAGATAATTGTTTTCATTAGAGATTCTCTCTGGATCTTCTGGCTTTCTTCCAGAAGAGCTCTAAATACACAAATGGATGTGTTTTAGGGTTTTGTTTTTGTTTCGTTGATTGCTGAAGACTGAAAAAACTTGGAC